GAGTTTCCAAGTTGGGATCAGCTTGTAAGGAAAGTTCTGCGCGTCTGTGCCTAGCGCACGGGGCCAGCCTGGAGGTGCCTGGCGAGGTCTCGGGGAAACTGAGGCTCCGGCCGGCTCCCACGTGCCCCGGGGCCGCCCGCTGGAGAAACTGCCCGGTCCTTCCCCCCAGGCTGTTCTGCAGGCGGCGGTGGCGCACCTGTGGGGGTGCGGGTAACCTGTGGAGCTACCCAAGGACGGGCCTTCAGCGGGGGGCTCGAGTTAGTTGTACCAGCCTCTCCCTGGGGTTGAGCTCCAGCCTTTCCCTTGATCTGAGGCTCCTTTTGGAGAGGGGGGGGGGGGGGGGCGCTGAAAATATGTCCACCGGTTCCTGCGGAAGCAGGTCTACGAGTTCGTTGGGGAACCTTTTAGGAGTCTCCCCGGCGTTTGGCCGTCTAACTGTGTAGTAGCAAACAGACGATGTATATTCTCAAGGTCTCACCTTTCAAGTTAAGACTTGGGGGCTCATTGGCTGGTGGGAGCTTTTGGGAAGCGCACCCGGCCCTCCCGGAGCAGGTGAGGCTTATGCCACCCTGGGAAGGGCGCCCCCTGCGCCTTGTGCGGCATTAACCGCCGGGACGCGCATCAGCTGTGCGGCCGTGAGATCAGGGCTGACGATCGCCTGGTGCCCGCGACGCGGTCAGTGGGTCAGAACAAAATAAGTTTTACTTCTCTCTTTTTGAGAAAAGGGGGTTTCCCTTCAGGACCTTAGCCCTTTGGGGACTTGAAAACGTCCTATTTGGATAAGGCCAGGAAACTGGGATTTGCTATGTGTATTACATTTTATTTGTAAACTATTCTAGAAGTAGGGTAATGGTCAGTAAAGTAGGATAAGTTGCTTTAAGGGACTAAAGTGTTTCATGGATTTAAATTATATCCATCTGTTGTATATTTAGCCTTAGATCCAGATAAAGAGCACAGCACCTGCTTTTGCTAGAATCATCGGAGAGAGACAATAACTTTTGTTTGTTTTTGCTGAATTTTTTGTTTGTTTTGTTGAATTGTGCATGTGACAATCTGGCTTTGCAGATCATATTTTGAGATCATGTAACAAAAGGATCATGTTCATCCTGATACTAGACATTTTTCCTATTTACCTATGCTAATTGAGGTCCATACCACATCCCATCAAATCCTCACAGTATTATCCCCATTATATAAATGAACGGAGGCTTAGAAAATTACCTAACTTATTCTAAGTAAAACAGCTGATACATGTTTGATTTCAGAGGCCAGAATCCAAACTCTCAACCATTTTGCCTCATTGGGTGATGTTGGCTTTTCAAGTAGATAAATGCTTAAATCCACAATATGGCCATTGCCCAAAATATTGTGGGAGAAGATAAAAACATTATTGAAATTCCTCTTTTAAAATATCCTTCACAGTCTGTTGCATAGTTTCATAAATATCCTCAGTTGGAGGAGGTGGGGAGACTATGAACAAGTTAGCCAGCAGGAGAGAATGTGGGAGCGCAATGAGAGACATAAGGGAGGGAGGGCAGGGGGGAGAGGCTATTACTTAGGGCTCTTGGTGGCAAGTGACAGAAACCCACCTTGAACAGCCTTAGGGCCAAGAAGGGACTTTATCAACTCTAACAAAAAAGTCCAAGGATTAAGGTGACTTCAGAAATGCTGTATTCAAGAGTTCAAATACGTTGCCAGAAGATGGCTCTTTCCAGTTCTTGATTACATCTATCAAATCTCAGGCAAACCGTAGTCAAACTGTCCTCAGACTGCTGGGGAGTGGGGCATCGGGGAGAACATGACACTTCAAATAACGGGGACTTTCTAAAGTGAGTCGCAGGTTTCAAAGGCCACCATAATGGGTACCCAGTTAGGAAATGAAATCCATACTGAGTCCATACCACATAATGAACTTAACTGCCACCCCCCACACACACACCCACCCACCCCCCACACACACACCCCTCCAATTCGGTGTATTATAACTCAATTGAAGACCTGTTCTTTCTGTCAAGTCTTCAGCCTTCTTGTACTTATGGTTATCCATGAATCTCTCAGGATATAAAAACAGTGCCTGCCCACGTAGATACTTCAGACATGTTTATTGAAAAAATGAGAAAAGTTAGTAAAGCTAGGAAGAATCTGTCTTCTTTCTCAAGCAAAAAATTAAAAATGGGTTACCAGGAAATCATCCTTCCTAAGAGTGACAATAGTTGGGAGACAGAAACAGGAGAGATTCCTGCAGTGGTCCAGACAAAAGATGATGGCACCTGATAGTGAAGATGAGTGGGTGGGTTCTAGGTCTGTCTTTTCAGGGGGTGCAACTGAAGTCACTTGCTATTGGATTGGATGGAAGTGGATGGTGGAATGAGAAAGAGGGAGGAATCAAATCGTGACCTCTTGGTTTGGGGTGGAACAACTGGTAATACATTAACTGGGAAGACAGGGAGAGCTGGTTTATAGTAGAAAAGCAACAGTTCCATTTTTGGCACTCGCATGCACAGGCTTTGGAATTAAACAGCCTGGTCCGAATCCAGACTCTGCCACTTACTAAGCTGAGTGGCCTTTTCTGGGCCTCAGTTCCTGTCACTGCAAAATAATATTCCTACCTCAGAATCGTTGGGAGGGTTGGATAAGCTAATGCAAGTCACATGCTCCCCAGGAGGCCTGCCATGTCCTAAGCTCTTGATAACATTGACATTTGTTTGATACCTACTGCTGAATACATCTGTATGGTCTACTGACCTTGATCTTTTTCAAGTTTAATCTTCACACCAGATTTTTTGTGTGTGTGTATTATAGTTCTATCAAGAGGAAGAAATTTGCACGTGCAATTAAGATAGATCCTTCCAACTTGTTATTGCCTACCTTTCGTTGTACTCTGAGGGTTTGTTTGTTTTGTGAGGGAAGGCTACCTTTGTGAAAAGTATACAATAGCACACTTATTCTCTTTCCAGGTGGTGTGTGTGTGTGTGTGTGTGTGTATAGTCTATACAAAGACTCATGATGAATAAACCAACTGAAAAAAGTGCTTAACTGGGGCATAGAGTTCTTCTAAACCTCTTCCAAATGTTTTAGGTGCCAGTTAAAACTTAAGAGTCATAACCCCCTGGCAGTGGACAAGGAGACACCTGATTGGTGGTGTTGCTCTTATATTTGGTCAAGGGCAACGCAGACACGAAGTCCTTAGTTCATCCTAGCTTGATGCCTGTGTGTGTTGGTGGGCAGAGCTGTTTCATGCCTGGGGCACCTAAAAAAAATTAAGAATCATACTGAGAAGGCTTTCCATTAAATGTGAAGTTATCTTCTCTAAATTGTATGAAGTTAGGGGTATTGGTGGTACAAGCCCTTGAAGCACCCAAGAATACGAAGGGACCTGATAGTCCACTCCACTCAGAAGAGCAGGGTTGTAGTGGCAGAAATCAGTTTCTCTCTCACCCATCACTGTGTCCTCATGGGGGTGAATGAATTTTGGAAAAGCTATTATGTAATTATCCAGTGGCTGGCACATACTGTAGTAAGTACTATGTAAGTGTTTGTTCCATAAACTGTATGTTTTCTTCTTGAAAAACCAATAATGCAGTTACAGATTTACTGACAGTGTGTTTCATAGCAACAGTGGCAAAAGTAGGCCTTAGAACTTCTTGTGAAATGATCTACCCTCCCCACACCTCCACCACAATATACTGCCAGTGTTCTTAGTTAAATATTATATGCCCAATAATCACAAGCTTTTTATTTTTATAGGCTCTTCAAGCAGACAACCTTCCACATTTTCCCATACCTCTACTACTGAGCCAACAGGTACGTTAAAAAGGGATTTTTACCTGTCTAGAATACATAAAGAAATATCAGCAGGAAAGTCCGTGAAAGCGGGTATACTGACCTGTTTTAACCATCATTTATTCATGAATCCCTAATGCAGGGGTTCTCAAACTACGGCCCGCGGGGCCACGTGCAAATACAAATATTGTATTTGTTCCCGTTTTGTTTTTTTACTTCAAAATAAGATATGTGCAGTGTGCATAGGAATTTGTTCATAGTTTTTTTTAAACTATAGTCCGGCCCCTCCAACGGTCT